TGTAAGTTGTTAAGAAATTTATTTACTAATAATTTGTTCAATTGCTATCGATTATATATTTAATTCTTTAGTTTTCAGTTTTAATGAGCTTATATAATTGTCATAAATCACCTATTCTTCCCCCATTTTGCAAAATAATTAACAAAAAAAAATCTTCACAAAAATTTCCAATCTTATAGAAAGTATACATCCTATAATTCCAGATCTTAGTACCTTTAAATCTAATGAATTAACAAATCCACGCTTATTTGTGAGTGTGACGGTGATACGATGAGTCAAATCATGAATCAGCTGAGAAATGGATGCAGATCTAAGATTAACAGTATATCATTTTCAATGCAAACTCGTCCCATCCGGAATTGTGTCTTCATTGTTCTAAGTGATCAATCTGTTAGCTTGTATTTATATTTGATGTATTTATTTTAAAAACAAAAGTCTAGATACCAATTTTAGAATGAACCCGAAGATATACACTAAAGACACAATGTGCCTGGATTAGAAGACGTCCAGGCCATTTAAAACCACAGTTCGCGTGTCCAAAAAGTATACTGAAATATATAGCAATTTAAAGTTCCGACCACTTCGCACTAAAGTGAAGAATAACGCGTTTCTAACCATGAAATTTGGTCATGAAGGGATGAACCCTATATATATATATATTCAGCGACCTTCTGTTACGGAGCCACCCCAGCGCCTCTTTACCGACATCCTTGCTAGCTTGATAAAGATTATTCGTTTTCAAATTTGGTGTGAAGCATAGGACCATTAGAGGATTATCCCAATTGATTGTCCAATTTATTGTGAGGAATTGGGATCAGAGAGGTTGAACCCTGTTGAATTTATGTTCTATTATGTTTATAGAAACGCTTGTGAACACGATAGATAGGTTGAGATTAGATTTTTTTAAAAATTGTACCATATAAAGTTTGGTCAATATCTAAGTTTTCCTTTCGGATAAGCCTCTGTGTCTATGGATAAAATGTTTTCGAGAGATAGCTGCTGTGTTGGAGTATTTCAACGTTTTGCATGGCTATCTTTGTTAAATTTAGATAAAGAAAATGATTATTCGCCTTCCGGGAATTAAATGAATAGTTCTTGTGGTGTAAATCTGTATTGAAATGAGTATACTTAAGAAATCACGGGAAATAATGGAATTAAAGTTAATTTATTTCATCTAAATCATGTGTTAGATACACTTACCTCAGATTCCAAAATGTCATGATGTGCTTGGAGGAAAATGTTCAATGTGGTATTTGGGCTATCAGGTTGTACTTCGGTGTCTCCACGACGGATGAATTGCTATTCAATATGACTTGTGTAACAGATTATATCGACCTAAATAGAACCGTATTCATTAGACCTTCATGTTGTATGGGTTGGTGTTTTGCTTTAATTAAAACGGGAGAACTGCTAAAACATTTTAAAACATTTTGGGTTTTTTTTGGGTTGAAGTGTTATATCATTTTAGAATCCCATTAAATATCTAAAATTGAACACAAAATTGCACATTTTATTTAGAATATATAGAAGGACTTTTAGTTTATACAGCTTTTTTTATTGTATGTGAGTTGACAAAGAAATCTTATCTTATTATAAATAATTGTTGATCCGGTGTATTGTATAGCTGCTAGATCTTCTTAAACTTTGTATACGCTTTTCTTAACACAGCAACAATACATTGTTTCGATTTCCTACTTCCTTGGGAATTTTAACATGCAAGTTCGGTCAGTGCGATCCTTTTACGAGGTGACTTTAGTAATATTTTTTTACAGGGTCACCAAGAACTTAGACAAGGGCTGGGACTTGTTCGGATTTGCTTTTAATAAACGTCAATTAAGAGTAAGGCAATATTCTTTCAGTGATGGCCATCACAAATTAAAATCGACCCAAACAACCGCATTTTATGTCTCAGAGGTGTTCCCAATTATATACTTTAAATCGCTTGCCACATGAAAAATGACATAACGACAACTTTCGTTCTGCATAGAGGTTTTTTTAAAATCCCAAGACAACATGGGATTATTTTAAGTATAACCCTTTAAGACTTCAGCAAACCCCAATAGTATCGTAAAACGAGTTCTCAGATTGACTAGAGATTTTTTGATTAGATGTTATCGGTGCATTCACCCTATTTATAGAGTTGCATGTGTCTAGGGAATCATGGTGAGATACGAATGCCGTAAGAATAGATGTTATTTTCTGTCAGTTGAATTGTAGATTCACATCGTCTTGATTTCCAGTAACTTGTATACACATCTAAAAAAAGAAATGTTGAAACTCCGTAAATTATTTCACCGGAAATGGAAATGCAGAACATTGCGATTTTCCGAAGTTTGTTATTTGTGAAGAATAATGCATTTGACCCTGTACCTTTTACAAAATCAAGCACATCATGTACATCGAAAGATTAACGGTTTTAACATAAATTACCCTAGGCAATAATTAAGATGAGTAGTTAGGCTTCATTGCCGAATTGTTGTTTCGTAGGACGCCATTCTATGTAGTCAGACACCCAAAAGCAATACTTGTCTGCCATGATTCAATGTAATATTAATATTACATTATACAAAATTAGGCTGGAAATCTTGCCTGAGGCTTGTCTATCATTTTCGTTGAGACTTCAGATTATAACTTCGTTTCATCCCAACGTAATAATATATAATTTTACCAACAATAAAAAAAGAATTTGATCAATAATTTTTAGGTCGAGTCGAACTGCGAATTGTAATCAATGTGGCGATATGGTAGTATTTAGCTTCCAGGGGTATGTACTTTACACACATCGGTGTGGACTTTCGTTTTCATGGCAGCACAAACTTCATCAAATGTAATTAACCTAGTTGATGATGTATTTTTTCTTGCTGTGTTTTATCGCATTGTCTTTGTAGTGTTCAAACGGATACCCCTCCCCCTATCGTCTCATTTTACAACCCGTCTATGATGTTTTTCTTAGACAAAAGACATTATTAGTTTAATAAATTGGTTATATAATGAATGAATGTAAACTGTCATCAAATAAATGTTATTCAATATTAGCTGAATTTAAGCCTTATCTAAATCTGACTTGAGTGCATAATATTAGGGGCCTGCAGACGAATTTCTGTTTTGTGACGAAATATTCTTGTCATACTTATGACTTTATTATTTTATTGTTGTATGTTAATTCTGGTATTTATGTCTGGAATATTTATATATTTCAGTCAATCATAATCTGCATAATAATCAATATCATCTTATTATCACAACAACATTATGAGAGATTTCTGAGTATTATCTATGTAGTCAACTGTTTTGAACGTCTCCGCTGATATGTCCAGAAATCGCCTGTTATGTTTACATGCTGCTGGAGATGCACTGACGCTATTGCCCCGCGTTTACCTAGTCTTCATTATTGACGTATATTATGTCATGTCAGATAAATGGAAAGAGATGAGACAAGAATTAAACAGTAAACATCTACAACATTCTTCCTAGGAAGACATTTTGCATGAGACTTATCTATGAGAACAAGCGGAACAGGGTTACTTGATATTCGAGACTACCATTTCCTGGAAGTTTGAACCAAATTTAGGAATGCTTATACATAAAACGAAGGGAAATCAAGCAAATAAAGTACACATGGTACTAAGTCAATAATTAAAGGAAATACCGTCGTCTGAAGAGACGTTTTAAGAGAGCTGAAAATCCACCGTTAACCATTCGATCAGTAACAATAACGGATCTCGTGTATTTACGTAACATCTAGAACTTGCGCGTAGACATTACGAATACACGGATCAAATATAGCAAATGTAATTTCTTAAAAAACATGTTTAGAATCTGTTTAATAAGTTATATCATATACGCAAAAATAGATAGACGGTAATATTGTCCTTTAACTGTTTCATTCCCATCCGTCAACATCAATATCATCTTTACTATTATCATAATAATCTACCTTAAAACTGTAATTATATTTGGTCTTTCCGGATCAGACATTTCTCTTTGATTTGTCAGACCATAAGCTTTCAATAGAAGGGGGATTGTAATGTCAATCCTAGATTTTATTTTCTTACCGCTTATCCTCCAAAGCTCTTTTGTTTTAGTTACATATTACCAATATAAGATCCTTATTATGACGTGTCTGACAGTGTGATTGTTTAGGGATTATACGTGAGCTACCGACTTTAAAAGTTACCGAAAGGCGAATTTAGGGCACTCTGCTATGCCTCCGTTAATCATATTTGTATAAGAATTGACCACATATACATATTTGACTCTTTTAAAAGGATAGGATTTATGTTAATGTCCGTTACAAAATAGCCCCAGTCTACTATATTTCATCAAATGTATAAGAGCGAAATGGGGTTTAGCGTCTGTTCGACACGAACTAGGTATATACAGGTCACAATTCTATGGAATTACTGCTTATAACTAAGCGACGTTTCGACTTGGCGTCTCTAGTCATTATCAAGCAATGATAAAATATGAAAATGTAACAAGACAATATATAGGCTACCTGTACACAACAATACTTGGTTAATGCTGACCAACTAGACACCCTTCTAATTTACCTGAAATAACATAAATTGATTAACCATGTCACTTAAAGCTGAACTCCGATTACAAAACTCCAGAAATAATTAAATAAAATAAAAATTTAACGCCCTAAACAATCGCCAAACTTGTTTTCAATTTGTACAACAAATATGGCGACTGCCCACCGCGTACAAAGACACATTGCACTACGTACATTGCCACTTTTAAATATGTTACTAATAGACTAAAACTTTTCGAAAAGTATCCTATATTGTAGGAATATGCAGGTGCAGTTTAAAAACCTTTATGTATGGCTGTCTCAGCCTCTTTAGAAGGTCTAAACATGTGTGTTATGAAATGTGTGAGCGTCCTACGTCACAGTGTGAAACTCGACACAGTGCTGGAAACAATGACAGTGCAAAATGGGGTAAAATACAAAACTTTACACAAATAGTACAAATAATAATTAATATTTATTTCAGTGTGTATTGTGTGTATACCAATGGCTGTGGGACAAGCTGTCTATAGTGTTTGGATATATGGGGAATTTATGTGCAAAATGACGGCGTTTTTACAAGGTATGTCTTGGGTCTAAATATAAAGTTTATTTGGTAGCCATGATGACTAACAACGAGGTTACGGGCTGGAACCCGGTGTTCGCTGAAGACGTTTCTCGGAATTTTCCAATCTGATTTCCTCATGTTAGTGGTGCAGGCCTGGCAAAGAAAAGGTGTCTGGTTGTCGGGACGAAACCCCAAAAACACAACCTTGTGAAGAAAACGAAAATTATCGGACTACACCTTCAATAAGTTATGAAATAATGTTTTGCCACTGTTCTTGGTAATTAGACATTCCCTTATTTCGCATTGGGTCATGAAAACTCCCTGCAACATAGTTGTAATCATCATCAGATTTGAGGACGTGGATTAAGGCTATGTTGCACTTACACTTTAAATTTTTAATGGCGAAAGTGGGTTTTATTCCATTGTTTTTACCTCCACATGTAAGGATCAAAACAGTCATAGGTTGACCTTTCAAATCATTTGTTGATGTTAATTCGTATTCTTACTATTTTGCAGGAGTGACTGTTTGTGCCAGCATCTTCACCATCGCCGTTCTCAGTCTGGATCGCCTTCTTGCCATTAGACATCCTATGATATTTAAGAGGGTGGCTAATTATAAAATAGCCGCGAAGATGATTTTGGTGATATGGATTTTATCGTGTGGTATAATGGCGCCATTAATAGTGTTTCGTAAAACACAAACATTGCCGATTAGTCCGAATGAAAGCTTATATTTCTGCCACGAGGATTGGCCGAGTCTTCGTGATCGCCAAATATATGACAGTTGCCTATTTGTTATTGTTTATGTTATACCCGGTGTAATGATTGCCATTAGTTACGGTCTGATTGGCCGACAGCTGTGGACAGAAGATGAAGATTTGAAACGATCAGAGTCTGAAATTGGTCGTGGAATGTCGCAAAAGATAATGGCGGGTCGGAAAAGAGTGGCAAAGATGTTGATTGCGTTGTCGGTATTGTTTGCTGTTTGTTGGTTGCCGTATTACATTGTGACTCTTTATCTCGATTTCGAGACACACAGAACGAAAGATTACTTGGTGGTGTTACCATTTACCATATTTCTTGGGCATGCAAATAGTGCTCTAAATCCCATTCTATATTTTTATACAAGTCAAAGTTTTAGAAAATATCTTATCAAATGGATCCAATGTAATAAATATACACAAAGACAAGAAACGCCAGTAAGTAGTCAAACAAAATAAAGGGAGGCAACCATCCTAAGAAACTTTTAATATTTAGTCTAGACCGGATCTACATTTCTATATTCATATTATTCCTTTACGGATATGGATTGTTTTATAAATTATACGTCGTTGTACAATCTAATACCCGTTCTGATCTTGGGTGTTACGGCAAGTCATACATTTATGATAATATATCAAAATCACATTTGCTGACACGGTTTTCTTTGATTTAGATCTCTTTGATTTAAACAAAAAATTAAAAGTTTTTTAGATGTTATGTTTTTATTTGTTTTGTGGGGTTGCAGTCTGTCATCACGTTAGTGCTGAGATACAGTAAACTAAACTTAGTAAACACGCAAATTTCTTGTTATCGCTAAAACAAACATGTAATAGTACATAACTTGTATCACAATTAAATGAAATAACCCATCAGAGTACCGAATACGTTAATTTGACCGAAATAAAAAAAAATGTGTCCCTTTATTTAGGACTGAAGAATGTGGTTGGACTTTAAACAAACCACTACCCCGATGACTCGACTGGTAGCCCGTGGACCCGAGGCTAGGTTCTAACTTCCCTAGCGTGCGTTAGTAATCATCACCAGACAACATTTGTGGCTTACGCAACATTTGAAATAATACATGTAGACTCTTTTTAATGTAAGAGTGCATTCGGAAATTTGAAACTAAAACGAAAAGTATATTATTTACGATTGAGATTATTGTTTCTTAATCTGCATTACGTATCTTTTACATTTTCAGGTAAACCTCGTGGTGAACTACCCACCACAAGATGGCGTATTAGAGAAGAGAATATCTCGTCGTCCAATCAGAAAGATTCTAACCGGAAGCACGTGCTCTTCGAGATCAAGTAGCTTACGGTTTTCACGTTCAAGTAACGCAAGTTTAAAATCATCTAATACTTCTAATTATTCGTTAAAAAGAAAAGAAAACGCAAAAAAGGAAATGATCGGATTAAAAGAGATTCCTGTTATTCAGTTGTCAAATGACGATCACCATGATAACCAACTGAACGGTCAAATTCAAAATACGAAACATCGGAAAGCCATAATGGATTTCACGCTAAGTATTCCAACCACAATACAGGAAGAGAGTTCTCGGTCTCGAGCATCAAGCCCGTTTCAAAATCCCTCCATCGCTTGCATACAGGAAGAGTTGTCAGAGAAATTTGACACAGCTGCCACCGTGGAGGACAGTGCTGCTAGTGACGTCGATAGATTAGGTGCATTCGTTTGAACGGTGTAATAAATCAGTGCGTTCAATAATGGTTGCAGACTGAAAACTTCACAGTGATGGTCGTTTCCAGTTACAGAGAAGACAATCATTGACAAAGTCGAAAATTAATATTTATTGATAAAAATGTTAATTGCAAAATAGCCGAGTTGAGGTGCTAAATTAAATCAACTGTAAAACGAAGTAACATAACTGGAAACAACAACGTTAAACTACAACAACTCTCCGGAAATTTAACACAATAATATTTCAAATAGCTTCTTTTGTCCGTATACATTTACTACAATAACCCATATCGATTTGTATCAGCCCACAGTAAACGGTGTTGATTTTTGTCTACCCACATTAAACCATATCGGTTTGTATTGGACAGTAGTAACCCATATCATTTGTACCCTCTCCCATGATAAACCATGTCGACCTGTAACCACCCCCAGTATACCATATCGATTTGTATTGACTCCCAATAAACCATATCAATTTGTATAGAACTACATTAATTCCTAGTTATTTGTATTTGCCTATAGAAACCATATCGATCTGCACAGGGCTATTCTACATTACAGTAAAATTACTGTCTGTTCCAAGAGATACTCCGACATTAAAATTCCTCGCCATGTCTTCAGTATTTAATTTAAAAGATCAAAACTTGGTGACATGCCCGAAATTATTACCCCCTTGAGCTCTTCGTCAAGCCTTAACGCCTAGAAGTTTGATAAAATCCACTATTTTCTTGTAAATTTCATATATTTCGACATTGTTTCATTCTCAGAACATAAACATTACGAGTGCACCTGCGTAAAAGACTTGCATTTCGTGTAAAGGGTAGACAGGGACCTCCAAATCAGTTACATTCGGTAAGAAATATTTAGTGAAGGAAAATTTGCCCGTTTGTTTTGCGACAGTAACACGGGTTTCACACCGTGAAGCTTGTGTTAAACACTACTGTTTTTTGGTCGGATTAATATTATGTTCTGTTTCCACTTGCTTATTTCGCAGAAACTGCTCATTAAGCCACTCAGGTTTTGAGAGCAAGGTCTGAAAATGTGACATTTGTTATACACATTTTATTGGTTTTCAAAAGTAAATAGTTTCTGCGATCGGCTGTAAATAAATACAAATGTATTAAAAATATATTTATCAAAATTTTCTCCATTTGGCGATACAGTTTGTAGCGTATAAACTAAATAATAATTATCGATTGACACATAATCAACGGCATAGAATACATGTTGGCACTAACTATAATAATTATTGATACAAAATATTATATCATCGCAATTTAGCTGATATACATGTATATCTGGATAGCCCTCGTAAATAAGCAGAGCAAAGCGGGAACCGATTTCGTAATCTGTTTTCCCGTAAATGTTATTGAACTTTTTCATTAGTTGATATTTGTATTCGAAACATTTATATATACGTAGGGCTGATGATATATAAGAAAAACTAAAAATCCATGAATTTTTGCCATTTTCGAAAAATAGGCAATATGGTTCTATGTTCATGACATTTGCACCATTTGATGCCTAATGCGACTGTTCATTATTGTAACATTCTTGTCACTAGATATGACGTCATTTTGGCAAAACTTGTACCTTCAAACTTTATTAAACAAATTGTAATGCAAATGTACCTGTTTCTTTATATTTAAATTTTAAATATTTATTTCACTCATCGAAAAGCACAGATCAATGCGAACATAGATATCAAAAGATAGTTTATAATATAACTTGATGCAATTGCCCAAAAGTACCTTTTTTACGTTTTGTCCAACACATCTATAGTGATTTTGAAAAAAAACCCCTATATTTTCAACCCTTAAAGCGAACATTTTTTTCTAAAGAGTGTTATTTGATACCCTTTAATAATACTGTTCACTAATTTCCTTTAGGTAATATTGTATAGATATACGATCAAGCACATATCACAAAATAATTTCTTACTTTAACCATTATTGCCAAGAAATGACCGATTTCGCATTGGTCACTTTGTAAGGGTTCCACACGTCATGGCCATTTCGCATAAATTTTTAACCGGTGTATCATGCTCCTGTGGGAATATGTTGGACGCCTATAGCCTTCTTCCAAATTTCCATCCCGTATCAGTTCAGGATAAAATTTGTATGTAGTTTATATCAATATCAAACGCTACAGCCATCGGGGCCAATTAAATATTCAAGTCAGTTGGACAAACAACTGTGGTCTTAGATCCCGTATAAACATGTGATATTCTACTGGGTAGAAACAACTTCCTTAACATCCAATTAGGACGGTACTCAAAGCCATGCCAACACCCCCAGCCCTCTTCGACTATTCCAGATAAAAGGTCAAACATGGCTTAAATGTTCAGTAGCGCGATGTGAAAAAAACACGATTTTTCAAGAGAGAGAGAGAGAGACTATATAGCTTCATCGGAAATTGGTTCCCTCGTGTAAGAAAGTAGTGGTATGGCAATTAAAGATATTAAAAATTGAAGAAATGGCAAGCAATTTTCTTGTCGTAGTGTCACTTGGAACAGACAGAAAGTATCGATGTTTACAGTCTACAGTAAACCACGTCGATATGTAAAGACCTTTAGTAAACTATATCGATTTGTAACAGTATACAGTAAACCATATCGATTTGTAGCGGTATACAGTAAACCATATCGATTTGTAACGGTATACAGTATCGACCTACAATATAATAATTATTGTTGCGCATGTGTTAATCTCCGTGCTGTTTTTGTTATTTAATAAAAAAATATTTCTATACATATTATTAAAAGATGAAATTTTTATCCATACACTGTCATGGTCCCATGATTGATTGTGTTTGGCCGTAAAGAATGTTGTTCTTATAAGAATACAAAGAGTAGGATTTAAATTTAACAAAGATAGTCATGCAAAGCGTTGAAATACTCCCACACAGCAGCTATGTCTCGAAAACATTTTATCCATAGACACAGAGGCTTTTCCGAAAGGAAAACTTAGATATTGACCAAACTTGATAAGGCGCAATTTTAAACAAATCTAATCTCTGCCTGTCTATCGTGTTCACAAGCGTTTCTATAAACATAATATATCACTGGGACAGAAAGTCTTACAATTTTAAAATTCAACAGGGTTCAACCTCTCTGATCCCAATGCTTCACAATAAATTGGACATTCAATTGGAATAATCCTCTAAAGGTCCTATGCTTCACACCAAATTTGAAAACGAATAATCTCTATCAAGCTAGCAAGGATGTCGGTAAAGAGGAGCCGGGATGGTGTGGGTGGCTCCGGAACAGAAGGTCGCTGAATATATACTCTTAATAAAAGTAGGGGATATTCAGAAACAATACAAAACTGTGGAAATGCACTGCTGTTTTGATTAGAGGTAACCAGTGTATGTTAATAACAGACCAGTTGCCTAAACATTTCATATGGGCGGCTTATCGAAGTAAACATGGATAGATAAACCAGCACGCGACAGTTTTCATCAACCCTTCCATGAAGTGCCAAATTTGACAATAAACCCCTCCCACGTGTATGGCGCTATTACGTGTCTCATGTGCAGCTCAGTGGTTCTGTTGGGGCGACAAGTTCTTCATCTGTGAACATACTCTCAAAGCATGTCAAATGTCCATAACTATTTATCATATGGCAACCTGCATAGCTATTTGCATTTCAATATCCCCTACTCTTTTTGAAGAGTATATATATAGGGTTCATCCTCTCATGACCAAATTTCATGGTAAGAAACGCGTTATTCTTCACTAAATTGCTATATATTTCAAAATACCTTTTGGACACACGATTTTTGATAGAACTGTGCTTTTAAATAGCCCGGACGTCTTCTAATCCAGGCAAATTGTGTCTTTATTGTATATCTTCAGCATAGGCGTACGGGGAAATTTTTGACTGGGGGGGGGGGGGGGCGGAGGTGGTTGGTATAAAATGATAATAAATTTGCTGTTAAATTGGACACATTCAAGAACACAATATTTTTTTTATACAACTTTTACAAAGTACAATTGTGTGCCCAAATTTTCCTAGCATTTGGTGCCCAAAATGGGGGGGGGGGGGGGCGGTCGACCCCCCAGCCCCCCCCCCCCAGCTCGTACGCCTATGATCTTCAGGTTCATTCTAAAATTGGTATCTAGACTGTTAACGCGGGTGGGGGGATGTAGGTGGCCGAACGGTAAGCGTGTGCACGTTGTGTCATAAGGTCTCTCATTGAGTCAACTGCCGTGGTTTCGATTCCCCAGTTGTACGTGACAAGGCGTAGGGTCGCCTGTCCAACCTCGTGGGTTTTCTCCGGGTCCCCCGGTTTCCTCCCACTGCTAAAGACCCCTACGCGCAAGCGAATTATTGAAATAAAATTGAACCATTATGTTAATCCCGAAATGACCTGGTTTGTGTCGAGTGGACGTTAAACCCCATCCCCCTCCTCTCTCTGGTTAACGTTCATTCTACTGTAGCCTACTGGTCATTTGCTACAGAAATGTTTGCATTACTTTTTTCTTGCATTGTCTCCTAATTTTGTGTGGAATTGAGAACCATATTGGCAGTCAAAGAACATTTTGCTGTTCAGATATGAAGTCGGCGACACCGAACACCTTAAGTTTGACCTTTTACACCGTTACATTACTAACACAAAATTTGCAAACCAAATGTGGTCGCCATTTTGAATAAAGCGATCATATTCGAATACATTTTGGTCGGAATATAGTTTTGTCACCCGCCTTTCGAAGAAAGCATGGGGCTATTAAAATGGGTCCGTCCGTCCATTTGTCTGTCCGTAACACTTTTTGGGACACAATAACTCCTCTTCTAATTGAGCTAGAATGTTCAAATTGGGTGTAGGTGTTTATTAGGCAAATGTCTTGGTGGAGTTAGAAAACGAGCATTTTCTGCTTAGGGTAAGCAGAGATAAGCAATTTGATTGGTTGTTGCTTTAGTTCTAATTAAGTGAGAGTGATGAAACTTGGTGTATAGTTTTATACATCAATACCTTGACCAAGTTTGATAATGGGCAATCCATATTGTATCTTTAATTAATCATTAGATTCACACATTGTAGAGGAGACACGTACTCTAATTAAAATGAGTGATGTGTTGACACCTAAAAAGATTTATAAAATCAAAACATAGCGGTTCTGTGGGAAAAACATATTTGACCAATTAGATAATTTAAAGTCGAAACCCAAGGGTAGAAAACCAGCAGAGCTATTGGCGTTCAACAGACAGTCGCTAAATTCGGGAGAGACCGCCAAGGTTCAAGAGCTGGGATGAGTAGACCCCATTGATTTGTGGGAGATCCATATGATGTAGGCATCCGTCAGTAAACTCGATCTGCAAGTTAGGGGGTGAAGAGAGAGGCATGTTAATTTAAAGTATTGTAATGTAACCTATACTTGTAACTTATGTATCCAGGATTGAAACAAAATGTGGAAACGAACTGTTGCATTGTTATTCCTAGTAAGACAAAGGTCTTAACTACTGAGATAGGAAGAAGAAAATACACAACGTGAAAAGGCATCCTATAAGAAGAGAATAAGAAACAAATATAACCAGAGAGAATACTAGGCGATCACAAGGCTAATATAATAGTGGAAATATTCGCGAATGAGTAAATACATTTAAATGAAAAAAAAAAGACCAAATAATGTTTAGTAGTTAATTAAATAAGATATGTGTTGTAATGTTATGTTTGCCAGATGCACCTCTCATGTTGAATAAATCACTAATTAGAACTATATATTGACCTTTCCACCCATAATCCCATTCTTAAAGGAGATAAATCGCTAATATTTACGCCGGTTTCTGCTCCTCTCTTCAGCCTCTCGTCTCGTTCCCGCTCGTCTGCTTAACTGTCAGCAAACTCCTGATTATATAGCCTCCGACAATAGGGAAACTAGATAAGACTCATGTTCATATATGCAATTGTCTATTTATCACGTCATGGTATGCTTACTGACCAGTGCGTATTCCTTTAACGTCATGCGGAGCTTGTACACAGATCATACGTAGTTTGTAAATGACATATGAGATTAATTACATGTTTAATTAGATCAGAACTCCTGCATTCGAATACTAATCTGATAATAGAATAATTGGTATAATTTAAATTTCATCCACCACAGCTAGTTTCTTGCAGGAATAACTATTTTAGTAAGAGCGGCTCTTCATTGGGACAGATAGCTGCTCTGAAATTACATTATAATCACAGACCTATGGCTTCAGCGGTTGATTCACGGACCCTTGCTAGTTTCCACGGTCTTAACAGTACTGTAGGGCCTGGGAAAAGCAGTGCACTGACGAACATACCTACCCTACCACTCAGGGGAATAAAAATAGAAATGGTCAATAAAATTAAACATATATTAATTGTATTGGTGTTCAAACATTAAAAAAAACCCATGACGTACGGATTATTATGGCAAATGCATAGCGTGCCCGTGCGTTAGTACGGCCCTAGTTGATCCAGGTTGAACCTGCCAGCCAATCACCGGGGCTTGCATCATCGTGTAGACTGGAAATCGAATGATTATTGATTTCCAAAAATTGCTAAATTAACCAAGTTTATTCTGGGGATAAAGGCCACCAGCGTGTCATCTAGCAAACAGATGGTTTCCATCAACAGGTTTCGGTATGAGTATGATAAGTATCGTAATTTTGCTTCATGTCGGTAATTTTGTTTGATATCTTGATCCTTTGTGATTGTATCGTGACCACTGGTGAAAACAGATGGTTGGTTGAGACCTGCATGGACCCTTATAACCCGCATATTTATTATATTCCTTAATTTACATTCTATTGAGCTGGATTTAAATGAATTACATGCCTTATTTATTTATCCAGTTTTATTTCGCCCCAAGTTGCTTGTGTGTATTATAAATAGTTTATCCAGTGTAAGTTATAGTTTCTCTTTGTCGGTATTACACCACTTTTTTGCAGAAAATTGTATGTTGTTATGGTAACGTATACATTTCAAGTTATGTGTTCTCGTATTTTTATAGCAACTATTCGAATATTATTTAAATATTCGTTTGATATTTGACGAGTATTCGAGTAGGGATTTAGCTCAAATGGCAGAACATCAGGCCTACTCTTAATTACCTCACCAACCTGGGGGCTTGGTTGTCTTTGAGTCAACTGGCGTGGTTTCTAATCCCCGGTTGTACGTGACAAGGAGTAGGGTCGCCAGTCCAACCTCGTGGGTTTCCTCCGGGTACTCCGGTTTCCTCCTACTGCTAAAGACCCCTACGCGCAACGAATTATTGAAATAAAATTAAACCATTTGTTAGTCCCGAAATGACCTAGTTTGTGTCGAGTGGACGTTAAACCCCATTTCTCTCTCTCTCCCTCACCAACCTAATCACAAATGGAGTGATTGCACTAGTACCTGCAATAGTAATGTCGCTAGCCTGGGAGCTTAAAATATACTTCGCCTGCCATTTGAATGTGTATCTTCATTGGAAAGCCAAGTTCATGGACTACCAGGTCTCCAGAAATGTATTACAATAGACACAGATTGGACATTACCCTCAGATACCACTCGCATGTAGGAGTGGAGATTTGGTATATGTTGCAATTAAGGAGATAAAGTTGTCGCCCTTTTGACTGACAAATTTCCATGTCCATTTATTCTCAATAGCCTAAGGCTATGGGTAATAATTGTGTATGAAGGTGTTTTTATCTCCTAATCCTAAGAAAACAGCAACATCGCTGGGATTCATTTCCTGTGTCTGCATAGAACCATTTTTTTTTTTTTTAAATTCAAGCATTATATTATATTATTTTTAAATAGATTTGATTGTTACGACGCGGATGTCAACTGATTAGATAAGCAACTCTAAAGATGGAAAAAATTAACAAACGCTTCTCCGAATTAACATTGTTTACAATACTACTTCTTCCGATGTTAGACGATAAAATAGATACTATTGCCTTTCTCCATAAGATATTGTAGTGAAAATGTAGTTATAATGACACTTTTAGCATCCTTTTGACTCCGCGAATATGTTGATAAGTTGTTATTATCCAAAATCTTAACCATTTTTGTATAAATGCAGTAATACAATAAAAATAAGTATACACCGATAATACAGCTATGGATAAACTGACCAATCAAAGTTCCACATAATGGCCGTGGCGACTCATCTAGAGCTGTTGACGGTTACATTCAGCAGGATTATGAAAGCACTTCTTCTTGTAGTCATACAAAATCGGGTGTACCTGGGTTGTGGTGTGTTGATTTGCAAGAAATGTTTCATAGTATAATATATAACAGAGAAGGAGGGCGTAAGTCTATTTAGTACCATTAGTATCATCAGTTGGCATCATAATAGTATCATCAGTTGGCATCACGTATTTTCTAGCATCAAGAAGAATTTCTGTCATCTTATTACACTATGAAATAAATTATTTTTAATTTTAGCTTTATTGATCAAGCCCGTTATTTATTTCACTTGCAATAAAACCAAAACATGGCTAAATTACACATTCATTTAGGATCAAAATCTAACTTCTGACAAATCATTTACTACTTCTCCAGTGGCCGAAAGACATAATTAAACCTAGTCCACGTGGTTTGTATTTGATCCGAAGAGGCCAAAACATTCTGAAACGACAATATAAGATTGTCTTAGTATTCATTACCATAGTTACCATAGTTAGTATTCATTACCATAGTCCAGATATTCAATGGTTATAATTAGATTGTTTGATTAATCGTATTTGCTATTTCAGAAAGTTGGAGATTAAAATGATTCGAGATAAGGATGAGTTCTAGTAGTCAGTGTAATGAAAACTGATGGTTGTCCTCTGTATTATGTTATAAAGATACGAGAACAGGGGGAAGTCTAATTATACAATAGACAGATGTAACCAAACTTCAACTACACAATTAACAGCAAGGACAATCTTTATCAATGCATCAGAAATCCTTACGTTGTGTGAAGTTCAAGTATTTACTGGTAAACAATCTGTAAAAACATGTTTATCATTTTCAAACTTCCAGTTTTAACATATAGAGAATCTCCTACCAGTCTTTTTTGATATCAAAAAAGGCGAGTAGGAGATTTTATTTATCACCCAATCCCTTTTTACATGCCAAATAGATAAATATAATTCTTTGCTGTAGATTTCACTTTTACTGAACATTACGGCGTAGTGATACATCATTTTTTGACAGTAATTCAACCATTGCAAAGTCCTTTATATTGACCCACTGTTTCCATCAAGGTCAATTGAATAACAATAGTTCATTTTTAATAATAAAAAAAAGTTACTTTTAATAAGAAATATTTTCAACTGACCAATCAAATTCATGTAGATTATGAAATATATCACACAAGCGATATCTACTGTAGAATGTATTATTGGGTGATAAATCCAAATATCCATTCGTTAGCATTTTCAGATATCCATTTTTAAACAATTAAAATAGATATTTTAAAGGAAGTAGAACTAAATTATTATTTCCGGTGCTTGCGCATCGATTGAATATTTATTTGATTAAATGATTCATGGCGTTGCTAAAAACGCGTTTCCCATTTCAATGTTTTAAATCTTTGGAGTAAATGCCAGTCTATACGATCAAATTTTGATCGGCAAACATTTCTGTGTGATGTTTTAGTTTTGATAGACTAGACATTGTCGACAAAATGCAATTCTTATATACTGTCAGTTTTAATCATCAACATACCATCATCCCAATACTTATTATTTTTCACATGCCATAGTACGTAATTCCGGTTACTCAGTACATCAAATTCTACATGTGAAACAAGCAACAGGTGTAGTGAAAATAGATATTAGCCATTGTTACTGGTACAAGACAGAGGACCTGGCTAGGACAGTGTCTAGTTGTTCAGATGGGACGATAAACCAAGGTCCCATGTACACATTGGCCTGCACGTAAAGGGACTCTTTTTATAGTTGGAATTCAAAATAGGAGTAGGCCGCCCTCCGTGGAAAATTTCTGTCATGGCACACTGTAGGGCGTATGCCCATCTTTATCAGCCCAGTTGATGCAGAACATTAAACCTCATTTCCTTTCTTCATTTCATATATATTTGTGATATAAACAATAAAACATTAAATAGTATTTGTAGTGTTTTATATAACTCTGGATAGACACATACATTATAAATATCTCTAAATATTAATTTATTTATGTACATAATATCACAGATGAAAAACATAGATATATTAACAATCGGGTCGTATTAATACATACATACTAAAATAAAAGGTTCATAAATTTAGACTGTCACAGTTTGAATTAGTTTATTTCCCAAAAATTGTAATTGAAGTGAGAATCATTACACCATTACCTCTGGGGAGGTACTGTAAAATAAATTAGTATTTTTTGAGAAACAATCATAGTATGCATGCTGCTTCAACTCTTTTGACATTTGTGGGATATGTAATAAAACTTATATAAAATTCACAAAACAGTAGGACAAGAGTATATTTAACAAGGCCAATCAAGTTCATTCATTCTTAAAATTCTAGAGTGAATTCAGCATAATACAAATAAAACAGAAATGTAAATATTGTAGCCTAAAGGTAAATAAAAACTAGCCAAAGAAGTCATTTAAATTAAAACCCTGGTACAATTTCATTCCTGTTCAAAAATGAAATGAATGTTGCTTTTAGGTACCTAAATTCCAACTGTAAACAACAAGTATAAGGACTCTCCTAGTCAGTACCTGCAAATTTAGCAGAGATAACCAATATCTGGTATGCTTATATTATCAAGCTAATGAATTTTTATTACATTAAAACACTATCTTTCTTAACCATATGTATTTGAAGAGAACAAATGCAAAGTCTCATGAAATGTCATGTCTTTTCAATTCACCCATCAAAGAGGGTAACTGCAATTATATATGTATGACATCTCCTAAATAAAATATTTTAATATTCGAAAATCAAACCAATCTCAGATCATAACATTAGTCTAATCCACCAAATGGCTCGATTAGGCTGAAAGATACTACAGTAAAATAGCTGTAGTATTTTATATCAAGATGTTATTTAGCAGAGCATTTTGGTGAAAAAAAAAAGCTTCGTTTTGAAATAGTTTAAACAAACCAACCATTGTTTTTGTTGAAAAGTAAATCTAAAGTGCTTTGGTTAATCAAAGTGTTCTAAAGGGCCTTTGGATAATTTAGTAAACAGAAATTGTTTCAATTATTAAATTTTGAGATACTTTTACAAATGTATTTGCTTCATCTAATTTACTTCGGTGAAATATTAATTGCCTGAAAAAGCATAAATTATTTATTATTAAAGAAAACATATATAACTAATTTGGATTTTTATTCCTTTCAAAACTGTTCTGCAAACAAACTGTTTACATATATGTTAATTACCATTCAATTAAATAATATTAGCATTTATTACTTCCTTTTCAATATACCAAACTACTTAATTTGCTATGAAAAATGATATGCAAATAATTACACCTGGTGGAGTGGGCTGGGGTGAGCTGGATTTGGGGGGGGATGCAAAAGGTCACATACATGTAACAGTAATGACAAGAAAAACCTATACTAATAAAACTAGTATGTGCAAGACCTATACTAATAAAACTAGTATATGAATGACCTATACTAATAAAACTAGTATATGAAAGACCTATACTAATAAATCTAGTAAATGCAAGACCTATACTAATAAAACTAGTATATGAAAGACCTATACAAATAAAACTAGTATATGCAAGACCTATACTTATAAAACAAGTATATGAAAGATCTATACTAATAAAACTAGTATATATGCAAGACCTATACTTATAAAACAAGTATATGAAAGATCTATACTAATAAAACTAGTATATATGCAAGACCTATACTTATAAAACAAGTATATGAAAGATCTATACTAATAAAACTAGTATGTATGAAAGATCTATACTAATAAAACTAGCACATGATGCAAGACCTATACTAATAAAACTAGTATATATGAAAGATCTATACTAGTAGTAATAAAACAAGTCTATGAAACATCTTTATTAAAGATGGGTTCCCGGGTATAAACTGGGTGACTTAATGGTATATATGGACTAAAAACATTCAAACTAATTAATTTGTAATAACTTTGCTTCAAATCCTTCTCAAACATTGTAATTGCGACGACGGAATGTCCTGCTATAAAAATTTGATCAAACCAGGTCATGTTTACGTCACGTGGCTTACCTCTCTTGGAAGTCAGAGGAGAATTCATTGCATACATAAGACGATGTGGTCTTTAATCGCTTACTATTTATTACAAATATCGAATCCTAATTTTTTTATTGGATTATCTACTACCCATGTCTTATGCCATCATTTTTATCTCAGAAAGTGTTGTACATCTAACTCTTCATAAAGTTCAACTTGTACATCAAGCGCTCAATGTTCGTGTGTGACCTTTGACATCGCGCGTGCAGAAATTCCTAATCGTCGGGCTGTTGATTAGGGGAACCTTTACATTTTTGTCCTGTATACGCTCCATGAGTGTTTTTCGGGGAATACAGTATTTTTCTAGTAAGATTGGATATCTCTACTACCTTCCATATATACCAAAATTACCATACTTTTATTTAAATAACCACCCGATAAATACTTTTCTGGGAACCCATCTTTAAGTAACAAAACTAGTATAGGAAAGGTCTATACTAATATACTAATTCCTAATCGTCGGGCTGTTGATTAAGGGAACGCTTACCTTTTTGTCCTGTATACGCTCCATGAGTGTTTTTCGGGGAATCCAGTATTTTTCTAGTAAGATTGGATATCTCTACTTTCAATATATACCAAAATTACCATGCTTTTATTTAAATAAGATAAATACTTTTCTGGGAACCCATCTTTAAGTAACAAAACTAGTATAGGAAAGATCTATACTAATAAAACTAGGCTCATATGAAAGATCGATGAAATGTTTGAATTTGGTTTCAGCAATATAGGGTCAAATTGTAAAAAAAACAAAACTAAGAAGCAAAAAGGTAGAGCAACACTCAGAAGTATAACAAACCTGAAGACAATATTCTAAAACCTATCAAAAGGTCTTAAAATCTATCTACACAAAATAGAGCTAAAGATAGATGCTTGATTGTCAAGTACATGTACAGCCATGATTACCCAGCATTCTTGACTGTAGACTAGTTTATCTAATCTTCAATTTCTTGACTACAAAAACAAATAATGATTTTTGCTATTACCTGTCAAAAACAAAAATTATGAACATTTTTATCCATTTAAGTTAATTTCTAAGAGAATAATAATGAGTAAGGTCAGAAAATGTTAATTTTTGTAATTTAATCTGGTAAACTGTCATGTTGATTGTGATTCTGTGAATCGTGATAGTTACTATAACGGTTATCATTGATCACACTGACAGGTTCCACTACTTCTATATTAGCATCATTACACGGTTCTCTAGATACTGAGCTATTCTGCGAAGGTTCTGTTTCAAGATTTGGCAAAAGAGTATTGTTAGAATTATTGTCTGAACCTTCACTAAAACGATTATCAGAAACTTCAATTTCTAACAGGCCGAGCATTTCACTGAAACGTCGACCTTCACTAACCCCAGGTTGTAAAACACTACTGTTAATATAGCGATTCTCGGATACAGAACTATCCACTTGTTCAACAGATCCACTTAAACTATTTTCATCAAATCTATTATCACTGGAACTATCCAGATTTCTGGTAACTTGAATATCAGTTTCGTCGGTTTCTGTGGAGGCCAGTTCTAAAATTTCATAATCATCGTCATCATCATCATCGAGATGCAAATTAAACTCTTCTATGATAGAGCCCACAGCAGTATGCAAAGTGTAATGCTCATTGTATGCCTCAAAGTTATCATCATAGAAATTTTCACTATCGGTATGCTCTTCATCAACGGATTCAACATCCTCCTCTTCATAGAAACCATTGTGATAACCCTCGTTGGCATTATCACCCGACAGACCTTGAACATCTCCCTCGCTAGCTGATTGGTTAGAATCAAGAAAGACACTAGCCGAATTCACTGATTGGTCTATTGATATGTTATTTACCATATCAACATGACTTACGCTATCGTCATAATTATGTTCAATATCAGGATTTTCTACTTCCTCCCCGCTTTCATCAGAGTCAGATGATGATTCCTCCTCTTCCCATTCTCCCATCTGTTGGGCGATTCTTTTGTATCGTGTTTCACGTAACACTCCCTTCGCGCGTTGAGTTTTGGGGTGATCAGGCCCAAGAATTTCTTCACTCACTCGCGCCCATTTCTTGAAATATTCATACGCTTTATTGTAGTTATTATTGTCCTCATATACTATACCGATATTAATGTATAATCTTGATGTAAGGATATGATATTCACCATACATTTGCATACACAAATCCATTGCTTCATTATACAACTGTAAATAGAGAAGTTGATATAAATCAACACAAGTGATAACACAATACTCTAGTCATTTCAAGACTAACATACAATCATTTCCTATGTATGCAATGGTAGAGAGGAGAATTTTGTTGGAGCAGCAACATTTCCGCCTACTCTTCATCAAATTCCAACATCAAAGGATTCTTTAACATGCACTCCAGTGTGTACAAGAAAGGACTCCATGTTTTGTGCTATCCAAATGACTAAGCCCCACTTTTCTTATTAGACCTGCTGCAAAGCCACTGATGAAACTGCAAGGTTCTTCTCAGTCAATGCTTCGATTCGAACTACATTTTATTATTCACAAAAAAATTTAATCTATATTTACCTTTAATTGTTCCATACTACCTCTAGATGCTAAAACACCCTTTGTCATTAGAGCTTCCGAGTAATGACCCATGTCATTAAGCTGAAAGAATAAAAAAAGTTAAATGACCACTCAACACAAACTAGGTCATTTCGGGACTAACATATGATTCAATTTTATTTCAATAATTTGCTTGCACATAGGGGTCTTTAGCTAGCTAATTAAAAAGCTAGTGCCTAACCAGAAGTCATTTATTTATAGTCACCATCACACACACTATAATATCTTAAAACAGCTGAGCAACTGACATTATTATAACTTTTGATCTTTATACATAATGCAAAATCTTTACCTCTTGAAATATTTTTAAAGCTTTATCAATGTATTTGTTTCCTTCTATTAAAGCTTCTGTATCACTCAGTTCAGGAGCTCCCCCACATGCCTCCCAACTCTCCATATTAAATGCTAGTTTCATTAAACTCATAGCCAGTTTAAACTGTAAAATAAAATAATATGACAGAAACCTCAATTGTAATTGAGCTGAATAAATAACGACCATCATTTTAGAATCTAATAACATTTTTCTTAAAATCAATAGACTTCTTCGTCTCTTAAATATAATTGCTGCATAATTTCAAATCAATCAATGTCAACTTCAGCATCATTATAGTGTTCACAAGATTGTTCAAAGTGATCAACTCTGAAAAGGTCTTCTCATAATTCAGGCTTCTTACTTTGGGTTGTGCTTTTCGGAAAGTATTTTAATACTTATTATAAACATTATAACATATTATAAGGTTTAAAATATAAATAATATATAAAAGCTCTGCACTGGCTGCTGTAATCATTTAATTTTACTATAAGGAGATATACTTACCTTATGATATGCCCCAGGTAATGTTCTTCTAATGGCTATTGATTTTCTACCATAATAAATAGTTTTCCTTAAGTCAGGTAATTGACACGGAGAAACAAAATCATTTAACTTTAATTTCTAGAATAAAATAACAATATACATTTATTATAATTTCTAGAATAAAATAACAATATAGAGAGAGAGAGAAATGGGGTTTAACGTCCACTCGACACAAACTAGGTCATTTCGGGACTAACATATGGTTTAATTTATTTACACAATTCGCTTGCGCGTAGGGGTCTTTAGCAGTGGGAGGAAACCGGAGGACCCGGAGAAAACCCACGAGGTTGGACAGGCGACCCTACTCCTTGTCACGTACAACCAGGGAATCGAAACCAAAATAACAATATACATTTATTATAATTTCTAGAATAAAAAAGAACAATATACATTTATTATGATTCCTAGAATAAAACAACAATATATATTTATTATAATTTCCAGAAAAATATAACAATATAAATTTATTATAATGTCATATACATTTATTATAATTTCTAGAATAAAATAACAATATACATTTAATATAATTTCTAGAATAAAATAAAAATATACATTTATTATAATTTCATATACATTTATTATAGTTATAATATATTTCTATTTCTATCAAATACTTGTAATTCAAAATTGTTCAAACCAAATGTTACATTGATATCAATCATCTATGTCTCAAATCAATTATGTTTTGAATCAGTTTAATATCATAGTTACCTCATCATATATTTCTGCCATTAGTGCATAAAGTTCTACCATTCTATGAGGTCTAGCACCAAGCTCACGTTCCTCTATTTTCATGGCAGTCTTTAAAAGTTCTAAGGCTTCATGATGCTTTCCTGATTGTATCCTGGAATGTGTAAAATGAAATTAATAAATCAAAGATTGTACTGTTAGAATAAAATATCTTAAATATTCAAAATGAAATTGTTCTATATATATCACAACATCTCAGTATAGAATAAATCCTTAAATAATATCGTTCACAAATCTCTTTTCCTTTTTTCAAACTTGCCTGTTATACATGTAATAAGAATGAGTGAATATGTAGGTATTAATTATGGCATGTACTCACACAACCCTACAAACTTTTTCATATCTGATAGAAACAGCTTCTTCATTAACATTATCATCTCGTTCAAATCTTCGTAATTCAGCTTCATATTGACTCAACATCTCACTAGTTGAGCCAACCTAAGAAAATAATAAAACAACCTTTAATATGAACTGTAACAGAATGTAAATTTTGATGAGGCAGCTTTCTACAGTATGTGTAAACTGTCAACATGAACAATAAGTAATTCCCTGACTCAAGAGAAACAGAATCTGTATAGATAAGTCAGTTACATAAACATTAAACGATCACTAACCATGTTATTCAAAGTTAAAACACAAATACTTACTGTTCTCCAGTGAGCTAGAAGAAGAGAACTAAATTCTTCATTATAAAGTTTATCAAATACTCTCCAATCACATAAACACAGTGCTAGTCTATATCTATCTTTTAAAGCTGTTAGATGGAATGGATATTCCTTTAAAATAAAAAATAAAAATTACAACAGTGTGACTGGAACCTAAATCATAATATCTCTGTCAATGCATGTGCAGTAAATTAATGAGAATGTTTTCATTTTTCTATTTTTTTTTAAATAGATAAGACTGCTAGGCAACAAAACATATGCCCACTCATTTGAATAATGCACATAACTGTCATACAGATTGGATGATGACTTTTGTCACAGTGATACAAGAGTCCTAATTCTGGATGACAGACAAAAACACAGAGTTAATGCCAATATACGACCACATATATCCATGTGGTGCTGAAATAAATTGGTAAAGTGACCCTTTTAAGTGACGTAGCAGATTATTTTTCTTTATATGGCCTCGATTGAAAAGTCAAGACACTGATCATAATCAAAACATTTGTATGGTCATACAGAACTCTTACCTCTACGATTCTATCAACATTGTTAGATTTTTCGAAATAATCAGCAAGTTTTAAATGCCACCATTGTTCAGCATCTGGTATATCTGTATCAACTTCATCAACATCCACTTCCTCGCTTCCATCTTTCTTACAAAAATATCTAAACAAAGGGAAATTCAAAAAAATGTGACTGACAGTCTTTAACACAGTGCATAGATTTCAAGTCAATTACGTGTTGACTTAAGCTTCTAGGGCCTTCACCAGATTTAAAAATTGACCAAGGACAATAACTCTGACAGTAGTTATCAACCAGCTGCTGCTAGACAAGATATGTCCACATTTTCCAAGAAATGGATAGAGAACAAGCTAAGAACAAAAGCCATTTTTCGTGCAGTCAGGAATCAAGATATCTGGGTTATAAACATGCATTTCGAGTTTCATCAAAATCAGATGAAAATTGTGACCTCTAGAGGGTCCACAAGCTAAAAACATGATTTTTCGTACAATTAGGGACCATAATCCATGAAGTTATGGTCTGATACATGCCAATATCAAAAGGACCCAAGATCTTTGGAAGATAGACCTATATTTCATGTTTCCTCAAAATCAGATAAAAATTGTGACCTGTAGAGTGTCCACAAACAAATTGTCGACGGACGGACAGGGGCGACAGCATAATACGTCCACATGAAAATGTGGGCGTATAAAAAATGATACAAATAGATAGGATTCTTCATCTCTTGAACATAAACACTGTGTACCAATTTCAGACAATTTGTTTAGGCTCTAGTGGATGGATGAACTGATAAACAGGGGTGATGCTAATATACAACCATATTTTAATGTGGGTGCATGCATACATGAAATGAAATGGGTTTTATCGTCCGACTCTTCTGCTCTGACTGGGCTAATGAAGACGGGTGCATATATACAAAGTACAAAATGCAACAAAAGTACAAACAACATCTTAATATAGAGATCAAGTAATGTTACATAGGGAATATCAAGTAAATACACATACTTTTTACGGACTGCTTTACTAAGTGCTCTGTGATAAAAATCAAGTCGACCTTCCTTGCTGTCTCCATATGGCCGTAGAAAAGGTCGTAAAGTGGTGAACACAAAATTCCACTTTTTATCTGGAAGCGGTCCAATTACTTTAGCTTTCTCCTTTTCTGAACATTCTTTTTCATCTGGAAAAATATTAATGAAACTTTTCATTTAGGCAATATGAAGAAAACTGCAGCAGGAAATGGGGCATCTTCCTATGTCGTCAATGTGAAATATCAATTTACAATTCTTCAAGTGTTTATGACAAAAGTACCAAAATGTATTTTTGACAACACAGTGAACATAAATTAATGAGATAAGCAGGCTGAATTGTAAAATATAGCTTAGAAAATAATTGTATAGTTGTCTCATTAGTGATGATTCTAGAACCAATGTTCCCAGACCTATATTCGTGGATAGAGCATAGACAATATATGTCTGGATAACAAAGACTATATGATTATACCAAAACAGTACTGTAAATTACAAATATGAATAAATCCTGTTGAATAACTGAAGTTTTGTCTGTCATTGTGTCTGTGATTTTAATATATTTGTTGACAGCTACTAGTGATTGAGAAAACAGCTTAAAGATTCTAGCATACCTTTTTCATCATAAGGTGACGGAGGTGTTAATGATTCTTTATCACCAAGAATATTCCGTAGTTCTGATTCCAGCAATCCCGAAACTGAAGCTTCAAGTAAACACAATGTTGCTACCAATAGTTGACCACCTTCACAATGCTCTAATCTGGTTAATAATTCTTCTAAAATACTGAAATAAAAACAATGTTTTTGATAGATTTCCAAAAGATTTTATAATTTTGGGACTTGTAATGTTTTATGTTCTATAATCCACGGGCCTATAAAATAAGAAAAAAAAGATATGATAGTCCCAATATTGTTTTACGTAAACTTCTAATCATAAGTATAAGTAATAACTATTCTGACAACAACACCTAGGTGCTGGCTTGCTGGTTTGCTAGCCAAGGCGCTGGCTTGCTACAGCTAACCAGGAGACCTTGTGTTCCACAGGATTTTTCCAGCATGGTTTCCCGTTGTCAGTGGGGTAGGGTGGAGAGTCTGGCAACAATCAGTGTCTAGTCGGTCATATGGGATGGAAAACTAAGTGTTGTAGTAGCTATCTGTGCCGAAAAGTAAGACATTAAACCCCATTTCATTTCAATTTGTTTAAAATTAAAGGATGAAGGGCTATATCTACTGATATTACTCAGTATCTAAACTTTATAGCTTTGTGATTGCATTTAATATATTAGAAACAACTTTAATAATTATCTGCCAGTTATTTATTTTCAATTTGCTTCTAATATTTGAATTGTAATATTTCAATTTAGTTTGAATTTTAATATGACCACTATCTATATGACCCATAATGTCTATATTCTTATGGGAGCCATGGTGGCTTGGTGATTGAGACGTTAGCTTGCTAACCGGAGGTCTCGTATTCGAACCCTGTGTAGGTAGAAAAATTTCATTGGAGTGTTCCGGTGTGGTTCCCCCTTGTCAGTGGTGCAGGACAGAGAGCCCGTCAAGGGACAACATATAGTCACGGATAGGATGAAAAACCGAGGTTCTGTGTACACCTTGGTGTGCACATAAAAGAACCCTTGGCATTTGAATTAGATTTTAGAGTAGACCGTAGCGCCGCTGTCTGGGCAAAAATTCCCTCATAGCACATTGTATAGCATAAGCCCATATCCATAAGCTCTGTCGGAGCACAACAGCAGGATGTTAAACCCCATTTCATTTCATTATTCTTACTTCAATAAACCATCAGGTAAACTTTCAATCTTATCATCTACAGTATCCTTTTTCTCTACGAGACGAATCTCTTCACATGCAACTGTCAACCATAACGGATTTTCTGATGACTCTTTACGTAATAATCTATTAAGTTGCCTTTCTGTCAAACTCTTATTATATCTCTTTAATATATCTTTAATTATTTCCTGAAATTTCAATTAAAATGGCTGTAACATGCTGATAAGGGTATAAATTATTGTCGTACATATGCAAAAATATTTGAGCCAAATTATTAGTGCTCAGATCACAGACAACTATGGTACGATCTTTAGATAAAAGGAGAATAACTCTAAACTAACAATTACCTTTCTAGATAGGTGATCAAGTGGTTTGACATTTAATTCCACAGGTTTTGTTTCTCGACTCATCAATGACTTATGATGAAATGTGTTATTGACAGATGATATTATTATTCTCACTTCTGGCGCTAGTTTCCTTGGTAACCAAGAGACAACTCTGGCTTCCTTTTCTTCCGTAATCTATACAATAAGATATATTTACATATTATATTATTCTTTTATACAAGGCAACTTGAATAACGACAAATATCACACTACAATTTCCAATAATGTGACACTAATCAACTATACCTACCTTTACGGGAATGCAGGACAGAAGCAAGAATTTTAAAGGGAATGCTTGCACACATATCAGACTGTAATTATTCATTGTCAACATTTTACACTTTATGAAAACTATTCCCATTAATTATCATTGTAAATTCTCATAGGCATACAGATAAACCTTCCATTTTTAAAAGTATGGGCAGTCAATAAAATTTTAGTAGAAATCAGCTTTTAGCGCATTGGTTATAACAAAGTAAACCATTTATTAAAAACAATATTGTACATTTATATCGCACTGGTTAAATTTACAAATGCATGCTCAAAACACCACATCGGTGCACTTTACACACTTGTAATAACTTGATCACTTATATTCAAAGCTAAACAAATGAGATTTCAAATTTCCTTTAAAAGATTCAAGTGAGCTTGATGTTTTTGAATGATTTTTAACCGAAATGCATGCTCAAAACACCACCTCGGTGCACTTTACACACTTGTAATAACTTGATCACTTATATTCAAAGCTAAACAAATGAGATTTCAAATTTCCTTTAAAAGATTCAAGTGAGCTTGAAGTTTTTTAACACTATGAGATAAGCTGGTCCATGAAATTGTTGAACGATTTGAATGATTTTTAACCGAAAGATAGTAATTTAAATTTTGGCAAATCTAATTTAGGCACTCATTTTGGAAGCACAGTTTTTGTGACGGTGTGTTAGCAGTGTATAAATTCAGATCAGTAGGCTGGGCACAGAATTTTAAATTTAAGGAAGTTTTATAAGGCTGCAATGCAACCGTTTATACATTTTAATTTAACCTACCTAAGTAAACATGTAAATTACCTGATTAAGAGCATCGATAAATATAATAATAGGTTTAGTATTAGGATTAGATAACATACTACAACACATCTGAGCCGTTCCATCTAAATCTTTCGGCATATTGGAATCCTGAAATCAAAACAACACATCTGTGATAGGAATTGGGATATAACAGCCTTTAACATCTAATCAACACTAAATGAGGTCATTCTGAGGACAACACATGATTATTTTTATATATTCTTAGCTAATAGCATTATACATATTTCATCCTTCAAAACCCAAAGGTCAAGTATATTTTATTTAACCGAACAACTTGATAGAATTCTCAATCGCACAGGCAATACTCTGGCAAGTGGGAATGGGACTTGTTTAGTATTCTAATCATTCAACTACTGCAGTCTAGATCTAATGAAAAGCAACTGTCAATAAAACCCTCAATATAAATATACAAAAGGTAACAGCGAGGCTGATCTCCCCAGACTCAATCACAATCAATGCATATTTTATCTTTTTATAAAGCATCAAGCAATCAAATTGCTTATCACAATGCTTAACCTGAGTTATCGTTTTCCAAAGCATTGAAAAAACAAATTGGTTATCACTGCTTAGTCTGAGAGGAAAATACTCAGTCATTGAACACCCACACCTATTTTTAACAAATGTTAACTTAATTAGAACCAGTGTTATTGTGATGCAAAAGGTACATGTTTGACAGACAGATGGATGGATGAAACGAGAAACCCATTCTAATAGTCTTATGACTTCTCCAAAAGGCTAGGGTCAGTAAAGTCCTGAACCAATCCCTATCGAAATAGAATTCAGTAACAAATACATGGTTAATTTTATGGAAAAAATGTTTTAAATATAATACTTAAATTTATAACTATAATTCAACAAATAACATTCTACTTCTCACCTTAACAACTTCCATTTCCCTGAGAAGTCTTTTCAACATTGGTTCCAAAACGGTGGAACCTGGTACTGCACCAACAAAGTGGTAAAACACATGCCACGGTTTCCCTTCACCCCTGTTTATAATAAACCAATTTAAAAATATTTTACCACCAGTTGAAGATGCAAAATATTTTGATGGAGGGCACTCTTGGAGGGTGCGGATGTTTCTGTTTCACTACTGCTCGCCCCCCCCCCCCCCCCAAAAAAAGAAAACCTGCCAATTTACAATCCAAATTAAGATATCTACTGAATACAAATATTGTTTATAAAAAAAAAAAAACAACAAAAAGCTCCAAGTTAGAATAATACTTTTATACTGTTGTCTATAGATCTGCAACTGGTTATTATAAGAAAAGATAATTAATTGTATAGATACTCATATCAAAAATAACCTTGGACACAGCTGATTACCAACTCAGAGTAAAAAAAACACTATAGACTTATTAGACTATAATGGATACAACCTGATTTATAAAAATTTATATCTCGGCAATGGATGGCAGATTATTCCTAACATTTGCATACTGTAATACAGTTTGAATATATGTAACTATATAGTCAACTCACGGTAAATTATATTTTACAAAAATAGTACTGCCTCTTTAAAAACAATATCAAAATGAAAATCGGTACAATAATATTTGTCAGTTTCACCCAGAAAAATTAACAAAGCTAATCCTAGTATAATAGGTGAATGGATTTATGTAAATTGTAAATGTACCTAGTTTGGTGATTCTCCATGAGTTTTTTAATAACAACATCCACAGCTTTACACATGATTGATGACTTGCCACTACCTGGTGTGCCTAATAGTAATAAAGGTACGTCTTTCTCATCTTTTAGAATATAATCTTCAATCTAAAAATACAAACAACATGTTGTTTTCAATTCAAAAATCCATCAAAATTGAAACATATATCTTTAAAGTTAATTATACTACAAATTTAATCTTTTATCTAAAAACTGTGAATTAACACTTTCAATGTATGATATAATGTTTCTTGGATACCTGCCAAGCTAAATGTAGTAGGTAGTTTGATAACATCAGAATATTATATCAAGATTTGTCACAGATTACGGTATTCAGAATAATATGCTATATATATATAACAAATCATCAAGAACCTGGGAGCTTACTGAGCCTTTTTCCTACAAATTAGGACAATCCAATTATGGCCCCTGTCCAGTCCGTTTTAAATTTAAAATGGATTAAGAACCTTGCTTTGAGTTAAATTATTTTCATCACAAACCTTTTGTAAAACATCACTTCTTCCATGAACTATCTGACACCTCTCGTACAGAAAGTCACGATGTGCTGATAACATGTGACTGTCAGGATGATAGTTTATTGGTAAATCTTCACCACAAAAATCATAACCTATTCTTGCAATTACAAAATTTATTATCTGAAATAAGCAACAGAAGAAAATTTAACAATGAAATGAGAACACTAATGATATAATGTACATTAACCAAGTTCATCACACATACCTGTTGTTTTAAGTCTTCTGATAATTTTAACAATGGACGCCTTTTGTGATCAACACCACGATATTCGGCCCGGTAATTTATAATTCTGTGACTCTAGGAAAAAAAGAAATGAGATGTAATACACACTTTTCTATTGAAACTTAAGAAAAAGAAGATTATTCTTTCATTTGAGGGAATGACAACTGAACAAAAGCTATGTACAGCAATATACAAACGTGTGTAATATTTACAAGAAAGTTGTTATTGGTAAAAAAAATACCAAATAAATGATCCTGGAATGAGATGCAGTTTATACATACCGGGAATTTAACAAGGGAAGTGAACAAGGTATCAAATTTATTACACTTATTTATTGGCAATTTACTTCGAGGGAATTTAACATTATAAGGAACTTACTTAAATGGAATTTAATAAGATACTTATAGGGAACTAGCACCGTAACCCAGGTATCATTTAATCTTGTGTATCTAGCACTAATTTCTTTCACATACGTTTAATATCAAATCATTGTTTAAAAATCATTTAAAATCACCCAATATCATCTAATTTGTTCTTGTGTCCAGTTTAAAGCGGACTGATTAATTTTGATAATGAGTGTCCAATTTACAAGTATTTAATTTCCTGACCACTGTTCAAAAATTAATCATTATTAATCATGGGTTGTTTATTTTTTAACAGTGATCGAGAAATTAAATGCTTGTAAATTCAACATTCATTATCAAAACTGAATGGTCAGCTTTAAACTGGACACATGAACAAATTAGATGATTTGGGGTGATTTTAAATGATTTTTACAAATTTTTAAACAAAGATTTGATATTGAATGAATGCAAAAGAAATTAGTGCTAAATACACAAGATTCAATGATACCCAGGTTACAGTGAGATGAGATATGGCATATACAAAATATAAAATATACTTACAGGGAATTTATGTGCTATTTTGTTTTTTGGTCCACAGACTTTCTGTGATATTGAAGTCTTACGAACAAAACAACTCCTTTCCTCATCTGGTACAGAGTCTAGAAATGAATCATCTCGGATCAAAAACAGTGCTGAAATACATCAAATAATAATGTAAATAACGTGGTGTAAGACAACGGGTTTTCTTTATTTCTTGAAAACTTTCAAATTACAAGTTAGCTGAAATTGTGAATTCACACTTTACCCACCCATCTGGGGGTTTTTTCCCAACCGATATTAATGACGTCTTTAAAAGAGATTTATTTAAGTATTTAAGGCATAATATTCCTGACTCAAAGGCATATAATATGACCATACACATTAAAAAGAAATTTTACCAAAATGTACTGTGGTTCAAAATTATTTAAATCGACCCATTCCACCATCTTTTTTCTCTTTAGTTGGCTGAAGTCGGACTGAATGGTCATTCATTTCTATCCATGAATGTTTAGGCCAAAAATGCACACAACTACATTGTTTATTTTCACCATTCAGCACCCAAGAACACTATTCAATCCATAATCACTGGCCCTCTTGTGCATTGAGACTTTAATTAATATAAATAGAGTCAGTACCCCCATTCTTGTGAATTTTATTACAAGGACAGGTTCTTATGTATTACTACATATGGTAAACTATCAAAATACAGATCTATATTTCGTTTCGTTTTTTTAACTTTCGATGGCCTACACTACATGAAGATGTGACCGTTGTAGTGGAAGGTCATGTCAGGTGTCATACGAACGACTTTTGACCTTATGACGTGAGACATAGATTAATCAATCAGAGTTTTAATCAGCTTACAATTGTGATTATCATCTCTATAAGCTCCATATAATACTTCCAGATCTTCTACTAGTAGACCATATGCTTCAATATAATCTTCAATTACTTCATCTGAATATTCTCCCCACATCGGAACCCAGCCAATAGATTCACTATACAATCATAAGAATACACCAAAAGAATTAGTAACGTAAGTCATATGTTTGCAACATTAATTAAGAAATGAAATGAAATTTTAATGGTATGTTACCAAGCACAGGACTATTATTACAATGTAGGTAACCAAAACATACAGAATGTACATGTATTGATACAGAAATTATAATATTTCAAGAACGAGAGAGAGAGAGAGAGAGAGAGAGAGAGAGAGAGAGAGAGAGAAAAATGGGGTTTACCGTCCACTCGACATAAACTAGGTCATTTCGGAACTAACATATGGTTTAATCTTTTATTTCAATAATTCGCTTGCGCGTAGGTGTCTTTAGCAATGGGAGGAAACCGGAGGACCCAGAGAAAACCCAAGAGGTTGGACAGGCGACCCTACTTCTCGTTACGTACAACTGGGGATTCGAAACCACGCCAGTCAACTATATGACAGGCCTTATGATACAGCGCGCACGTGCTAACCATTCAGCCATCCCCCTCCCACCTTATTTCAATAATCTAGCATTATACTTAAATTTGTGCCCAAACTTTTTTGTTTCTCCTGGAAATTTGGATAGCCCTACAAAATATTTCCACAAATATAATCATTACTAATAAACAGGTATAGCACCGGAATTGAAATGTTTTGACTGATCAGCTCATTTAGCAAAACTCTGAGTCTATATGGATGAAAACGGCAAAAAAATGTTTTGAACATATAAAGAAATTTGGTGGTGCCATGGTAGCACTTTTCAGCAATGACATTTCACTGTAATCATTTGTCATTTTTTAACACTTGGATATAGACCCAAGTCTGCATACCTCTGATCTGAAAATTAAAGCACTATCGCGTGTTGAAACTTACCTTGTAAGATTTATAAACAATGGCATGATGTTGTTATAGTAACAGTTCTCAATACCAGTCTGCACTTTCTCCATCTCTGCAACTTCACGAGAGTCCGGATGACGTCCTCCCTACAACACATAACCCAACTTCACGGTTTAGTCCTTGGTAATTTTATGAACGTAATCATGTAGTTGGAATTAATTGAAGTAATTATCTAATTCATTTATAAGACAGAAAAGACATGTGACAATAATAGCATTCTAGAAATAAGGTACATAACATAAAAGTAAAAAACTGAAGACCTAAAGCTATATTACTAACAATATCTTACCCATTTAACATTTTGTTCAACTAAACTGAGTTTCTTTTTCTCACACCATGATCTTATTTCAGGTAAAATCTGTAGAAACAAACAAAAATACTATGATAAAATACAATCATCTTTTCTGATCAACTCATAATTCCAGACAACTTGCCTTATAAATACAAGTCTTGTCTCCTTCAAACAATATAGAAAAAAAATAATGTAAAAACATGCGCCCCCCCCCACCCCAAAAAAATAAATAAACCCAATCTACGACTGAATTGGAACCATGTCATTGTATATAAATGTGCATATTGAGTGTGTATTAAAAATGGACTCACCTCTCTTTTAATAACATCTCGTTCAGCGTAGAATTCATCTGTATATGAGGTTATATACAGTTTAACTGTTGTATGATTGGAATCTTTAGAAGAAGGGCTTTGAGTTCCATCACTGGGCGTCGCAGCACAAGCCATTCTTATTTCTCATGCATACAGGCAATCAATTAACTGTTGGGTTGAAAACAAACATCTATTGTTAAAATTGCATATACTAGGTATTGAAATTGTTATCATGAAATATAATAGGACTTATTAAAAGAAATTGTTGTCATATCGATAAGTTATGATTTATCATTCAGTTTCAACACAGTTCTAACAATATATTTAACAAGCAGTTTGTCACAACAGATACATGTATATATGTTCACTTGGAGGTTTTGGAAATGGCAGGAGTTCATACAAGATCTATTATTCTTATTATAGCTAAGTGTTAACGTACTAGCAACATATATAGCCTACAGGTACCAAGTTTCGATAAATCATTTTCCTACATGTATAAGTATAAGATCTTTATGGCTTAATGATTAAAACTAAATAAGTGTTATATTCATTTTCTAATCCTATTCTGTCCATTTACGAATCATATGCAGCATCGTCTAAGCTTATTCAACTTATTGTAACATTTATATTTTCATGTCATATTGGAGAAAAATGGCACTTGTTCCAGGAGATCCCATGGCAGTTACCTGTTTTCAGCTGTGGCATGCAAGACAGAGGGGATGGTCTAGCCAGGAAAAGCATCTAGTCGATTACCACACTGATCAGCTGTGAATATTCACTAGGCCGCTACAATAACAGATAAGGATGACATCAATGTGACATAATGAGCCACATTAATATTTACTTTTTTCCTCCGACAAATTAAATTCTAAAACATTTTTTTTTTATGTATTAGAAAAATAAATAAAGATGTTTAATGACATATTTGTAGGTAAAAATTATTTCCTATTTAGTGTAAATGGGTATTAAAATGAGTAAAAGACTCCATTCTGCCCATACCAGTAAGGTCTTATGTAAACAATGCATGCACCATTGAGCCAATGATTGACGCCGTGTGATGAGACGTCACATGTTGAAGGTAGTTGTCTTTTACAGAGATATTCATATTATTAGAAGACTTTTGTAATCCTCTATGAAACAGATTGGTTGATTACATGACTCATGAGACAAAAAATTAGGTCCATTATGTATATTTGCAGAATGTTTAACTTATAGATACCCAGATAGATGGGAATGCCACACAAGGGGTCTGCGGTGACACTGTCTATTAGTAAGGACAACCTGTCAATTTTAATTTTAACAATATGAATATCATGATTTTTAAAGTCAACTGAACGGGTAAAGCATATTAAATTTATTATTCTTCATGAGAAACTATATGCAGCTACACTGTACGATATATAGTTAACATTCAAGCTAAGATATTAATATACGTACTTTATAAGGTAAGTGTCTCAATGTGTTCTTATATGGAAATCATTTTGTCGAAAATGTACACAAATTCAGAAATAGTTCGTTGATTTTCTTGTTTTGATCTTATTAACTTTTTAGACTCTCAAATTAGAGAGCTTCGTTAAAGGGAGGCGACTTTTGAGTTTTAAATACAGTTACTCCCCTTTAGCTAAAACAACGAAAACGGACCTCAGTGTACCAGTGTACCTACCTGGAAAACGAAGACGGGCAATATATTTCACCATACGGTCCATTATTATACGCTACGAGGCAATTTTGTGTGGACAGCGGCATTTACTTTTACATGCAAGCCAACGTGTAGCCTACATGGACCCCGGGTTTTTGTTCCATCCGAAAGACTAGACGATGTTCCCTGACAGACATGCCACTTTCTCGGACAACACAGGGATCAGTTTAGTGCTCAGTTATGCGCCATCTCACTAAGCCCCCGTATCTACCAGACACGAAAAGAGTCCTATCGGTCCTCGATAAATTCCGCTGTTTTCCTGCGCGTTTGAATATGGTATTTTGGATATAGCCTACCTTAATTGCCGTAATGTATAATTAGGGTTTCACACTGCGTAGCTTGTGTGAAACACTATTGTTTTTGTTAAGATTATTCTTCTTATTAGGGTTTCACACTGCGTAGCTTGTGTGAAACACTATTGTTTTTGTTAAAATTATTATTAGGGTTTCACACTGCGAAGCTTGTGTGAAACACTATTGTTTTTGTTAAAATTATTAGGGTTTCACACTGCGTAGCTTGTGTGAAACACTATTGTTTTTGTTAAAATTATTATTAGGGTTTCACACTGCGTAGCTTGTGTGAAACACTATTGTTTTTGTTAAAATTATTATTAGGGTTTCACACTGCGTAGCTTGTGTGAAACACTATTGTTTTTGTTAAAATTATTATTAGGGTTTCACACTGCGTAGCTTGTGTGAAACACTATTGTTTTTGTTAAAATTATTATTCTTATTATTATTATTCTTCTTTTGTTTTGAGTAGATCTCAGCAACTGATTGTCGGATCGTTACGATTTCTTCGGTTTTATCGGAAAAGTGGGTGTGACTTAGAGGATAAAGCTATTTTGAACGTTCTGCGACAATGCGAAATGTCCGAAATCACCGAAGCTATCGTTTTTAGAAATATTGCAGTAATTTTAACAATAATCATTGGATTTTAACTTTCGATGCATTTTGGCATAGCCGGAGACGGGGCACATAGCTACGCTACTTTTGATTTTTGATTTTCGGCAAATCTTCGCAGATATTAGGCGCTAAATTTAGAAAATTTAAATTTTTACAAAAAACTTTTTTATTTATGAATATTTTTTAATCGTGTTTTACACAAATATAACGAGTCCTCTGACTTGGGCAAAAATGTGAAAATTTTTTGTCTCGGTAATTTTCCTTGGCCCCCATTGGCTAATTCAGTTTTTCAGTCCTAGATTAATTATTTATTGTTCGATTTGTATAAAACAAAGTTCATATGCCCCGTTGTCTCAATTGTCATTTTTTTTGTTACCAATAGTGTTATCTGTCGGCACCGGAAGTGGCGTAAATTGACAAAAAACTACAATTTTGACAGTTAGGTACCATTTTTCGAAAGCAAATATTATTTTTTTCAAATCTGGTATAACTGAAATTGTGCGCCCTTTAAAGGCGCACAAAATGTTGGGACCATTTTTTTAATTTCGATTCCGTTTTCGGGCTATTTCGATTAAAAGGTGAAAAAAGGTGTAAAATTAAGCTATTTACAACCCATTCAGCGTTTTCATATTTTAAAATATTACTTCGTAACTTTCATAAACTCGTAGCAATAATCTATACGGAGAGAATGTATGTGAAAATTAATTTGTAATATGCGCAGTTGCCGAGAAATGGGCAATTTTGCATGAGTCACTTTTTACGCTAGTTTGCCTGTAAAAGAGTCAATTATTATTCGATTTTCATAAAAGTGACACCATTTGATGTGTAATGTCAATTTTAACTAGGTCAAACCAATTTAACATTTTCAATATCACCGGAAATGACGTAATTTGGGCAAAAATTGTATTTATAGCCTTCGAAACCAGTAATTTATTCAAATGAGTCATATTTGTTATTTGTTTAAAATTTTGATATTTGATTCAAATCAACTAATACAATGAACCCTTACGATCATATAGATATCACAAAATGGTTTCTAACTTGTTCAGTTGCGGAGAAATAGGCAATTTTCAACAGGTCACTTTTTAAGGTTTTTTTGTCAAAAAAAGTGTCAATTATTATTCGATTTTCATGAAATTTTCACTGTGTGATACATAATGCCATTTACGATATCATACAAGTAATTTAAGATTTTCATTATCACCGGAAGTAACGTCATTTTGGCAAAAACTGTATTTTTAGCCTTCAAAACAGATATTTTATTCAAATGAATCAGATTTGTAATGTTTTTAAAATTATGATATTTGATTCCAATCAACAAATAGAATGAACTCATTCGATCATACAGATACCTCAAAATGGTTTCTAACTTGTACGGTTGCAGAGAAATAGGCGATTTTCTACAAGTCATTTTTCAAGGTTTTTGGTCTATAAAGGTGGCAATTATTATAGGATTTACATAAAATTTTCAACATGTGATGATGCTATTTCTGATTTCATAAACCAATTTAACATTTTCATTATCACCGGAAGTAATGTAATTTTGACAGGATCACTGACATGTAGCAAATGAATTGATTGCTGGATTTGGTTGTTTCTGCGTCCATTTTATTTCATGTGTGCAATGCTTATGTGGAAACCTGTTTAACGGTTTCATTGGTACCGGAAGTGACATAAGTTCAAGGGTAACGTGGCACCGGTGAAACCCGTCATTACTGCTTCGCAGTTCTAGTTCTTATTATTATTATTCTTCTTTTGTTTTGAGTAGATCTCAGCAACTGATTGTCGGATCGTTACGATTTCTTCGGTTTTATCGGAAAAGTGGGTGTGACTTAGAGGATAAAGCTATTTTGAACGTTCTGCGACAATGCAAAATGTCCGAAATCACCGAAGCTATCGTTTTTAGAAATATTGCAGTAATTTTAACAATAATCATTGGATTTTAACTTTCGATGCATTTTGGCATAGCCGAAGACGGGGCACATAGCTACGCTACTTTTGATTTTTGATTTTCGGCAAATCTTCGCAGATATTAGGCGCTAAATTTAGAAAATTTAAATTTTTACAAAAAACTTTTTTATTTATGAATATTTTTTAGTCGTGTTTTACACAAATATAACGAGTCCTCTGACTTGGGCAAAAATGTGAAAAAATTTTGTCTCGGTAATTTTCCTTGGCCCCCATTGGCTAATTCAGTTTTTCAGTCCTAGATTAATTATTTATTGTTCGATTTGTATAAAACAAAGTTCATATGCTCCGTTGTCTCAATTGTCATTTTTTTTGTTACCAATAGTGTTATCTGTCGGCACCGGAAGTGGCGTAAATTGACAAAAAACTACAATTTTGACAGTTAGGTACCATTTTTCGAAAGCAAATATTATTTTTTTTCAAATCCGGTATAACTGAAATTGTGCGCCCTTTAAAGGCGCACAAAATGTTGGGACCAGTTTTTTTAATTTCGATTCCGTTTTCGGGCTATTTCGATTAAAAGGTGAAAAAAGGTGTAAAATTAAGCTATTTACAACCCATCCAGCGTTTTCATATTTTAAAATATTACTTCGTAACTTTCATAAACTCGTAGCAATAATCTATACGGAGAGAATGTATGTGAAAATTAATTTGTAATATGCGCAGTTGCCGAGAAATGGGCAATTTTGCATGAGTCACTTTTTACGCTAGTTTGCCTGTAAAAGAGTCAATTATTATTCGATTTTCATAAAAGTGACACCATTTGATGTGTAATGTTAATTTTAACTAGGTCAAACCAATTTAACATTTTCAATATCACCGGAAATGACGTAATTTGGGCAAAAATTGTATTTATAGCCTTCGAAACCAGTAATTTACTCAAATGAGTCATATTTGTTATTTGTTTAAAATTTTGATATTTCATTCAAATCAACTAATACAATGAACCCTTACGATCATATAGATATCACAAAATGGTTTCTAACTTGTTCAGTTGCGGAGAAATAGGCAATTTTCAACAGGTCACTTTTTAAGGTTTTTTGTCAATAAAAGTGTCAATTATTATTCGATTTTCATGAAATTTTCACTGTGTGATACATAATGCCATTTACGATTTCATACAAGTAATTTAAGATTTTCATTATCACCGGAAGTAACGTCATTTTGGCAAAAACTGTATTTTTAGCCTTCAAAACAGATATTTTATTCAAATGAATCAGATTTGTAATGTTTTTAAAATTATGATATTTGATTCCAATCAACAAATAGAATGAACTCCTTCGATCATACAGATACCTCAAAATGGTTTCTAACTTGTACGGTTGCAGAGAAATAGGCGATTTTCTACAAGTCATTTTTCAAGGTTTTTGGTCTATAAAGGTGGCAATTATTATAGGATTTACATAAAATTTTCACCATGTGATGATGCTATTTCTGATTTCATAAACCAATTTAACATTTTCATTATCACCGGAAGTAATGTAATTTTGACAGGATCACTGACATGTAGCAAATGAATTGATTGCTAGATTTGGTTGTTTCTGCGTCCATTTTATTTCATGTGTGCAATGCTTATGTGGAAACCTGTTTAACGGTTTCATTGGTACCGGAAGTGACATAAGTTCAAGGGTAACGTGGCACCGGTGAAACCCGTCATTACTGCTTCGCAGTTCTAGTTCTTATTAGGGTTTCACACTGCGTAGCTTGTGTGAAACACTATTGTTTTTGTTAAAATTATTAGGGTTTCACACTGCGAAGCTTGTGTGAAACACTATTGTTTTTGTTAAAATTATTATTCTTATTATTATTATTATTCTTCTTTTGTTTTGAGTAGATCTCAGCAACTACTTGTCGCATCGTTACGATTTCTTCGGTTTTATCGGAAAAGTGGGTGTGACTTAGAGGATAAAGCTATTTTGAACGTTCTGCGACAATGCGAAATGTCCGAAATCACCGAAGCTATCGTTTTTAGAAATATT